TGGAAGTTGCCTTTTGTTTTGCCTCTCATCCCTCCCCTGCACCCATCCTCTCCTCTTCATTTCAACTGCCACAACCTCAGTTCAGCCCACATTGCCTGTCACAAACGATCCTGAGAGCCACGTGGAAAGAGTTGTCAAAGGAAAGGAAAAGGTCAGCCTTCCCTTGATCAGTTTTGTCCAGGTAAAACATTATTAATTCAAATGTTTCATTTCACAGAATGACCCTGGGGATTTATCAATGTCCTCACCGCCCAGAATATGTTCTTATCCTCCAGGGAAACACTGATCAAATCCGTATTAAATAGCTGAACATTATGCCCTAACAGGGGAGTATACTCTCCCCATGAGGATGCTTAGGTTCCATCACAAATTAACTACAGCCATTCAGTCTGACCATCAACAGTTAGTTTCTGCTCCCCCTCATGCTTCCACGAAAACTCTACTGTAAGTCACAGCCTAGACCAGGGGTGGGAGCCTGTTCATGTTGGAAGGCCGCCTTAATTTAGCTGTAACCAAATAAGGCCACATTCAAGAAACTTCAGTTAGATATACTTAAAAATGTACATTATTTTATAAAAGTCTAACTAGTATGTATTTAATGATTTCAAAAAATGAAAACTATTTGTTAATTTTAAATTTTCCTAACCTTTTAATGACTTTGTTGTGTCTGCTTTTTGTCTGAAAGCATTTGAATATTTCGTTGCAGCATGGAGGTCTCAGTTTCAGTTGAACCTCTGGATGGGTGTCAGTCATTTGTGATCTTAAGGGTGTCTTGACTTGGGTTAGGTGGAAGAATGTAGATTTGTAGCAATAAGTGGATGAGAAGCAAGAAAGCATTTTTCCGGCATGTTGCCAAAGGTGTGGGTATTCTACTGCATTTTTCCATATTTCAATTGGATCTTTCTTAGCATCAAACAGTGACTTTAAAATGTCATCTACTGAGACCTCAATCAATTCTATCTGTAGCTCTTTAGGAGCTTTGGTGGTTATCAACCAGGTGAGGCTGAAATGCGAATTTGAGTGTGATGTCATGATGCTGAAAGTCAGTGGTCCTTTCATTGCATTCTCCAATTAATAGGTCTACAACAGCTACATATTCTTCAAATGATTCACATATATCATGCTGTTCATCAATGACCTTTGTTAACTCACATATGTTCATCTGAAATTCCCATTTGAAGAAGTGTTTTAAAAAAGCTATCTTTTTTCAAAATGCTTGCATTTTTTGCCACATATCATATATAGACTTAGTTTTATCTTGCAACAAAATATTCAAGTCATTTTGATTTGACATATCACATAGAAATGCTTCATTTCTATAGAAATCTTCTTTCAATAATTCACATTGCTGATCCTGTTCTTCATAAAATTTAACTAATGTTCTCGCAGAGATCAAATTTTGGCTAACACCTGTCTGCAATAGCCAATGCACTTTAGAATGGTAAGGCAAATCCACACTGAATATCTCATCTTTCAACTTTTAGCATGTTATGAAACTGACAAATGCCGTGTTGCATTTGCACAAATATAGTTAACAATACTTAATAGCTTTTTGCAAAATGTCCCTTAAAATAGCTTTAGCACAGGGATTTTGCTGATGGAAGATACAATGAAAAGAAATAAGAGCATCTCGATCTGTTAATACTTTTTTAAATCTATGTAATAAACCCTTCATGTTTTCCTTTCATGGAAGGTGCACCATCTGTACATACTCTCAATAAATTTACCAAATTCAGTTCAACTTCACATTTATATCTAAAGTTGTTGAAGATATCTATTCCTCATATTCTGTTCACAAGAGTGCCCAAAGTGAGTAACTCTTTGTAGCAAAGAAAATATTCTGTTATGACTCAAATGAAGAATAAAACCCACACCAAGTTAGCAGTATCAGTTGATTCATCCAAAACAATTGAATATCATACATATTTTCCTTTTGAAGTGTTACATGAAGCTGTTGTGTTAAGCTGAAGGCTAATTCATGCTACCAATCAATTATGGTTTTCCTTGAAAGAGAAGGCTGTTTGTACTTTAAAACATTTTCAGCGTCTAAGCATCCTATGACTTCAACCATGCATTCTTTCACAATTTCTACATTACTGAATGGCTTCCTTTTTTTCCCCAAGTATATAAGCTACCTTACAAGTTGCTTCCATGGCATTATTTCCAGGTCTTATTGTTGCTTAAAATAATTTTCTTTCCTTTTGCTTTTCATCTTTTAATTTCTGTAACACCACCTTTCATGCCTCTCCCTTTAAAATACTTTTTGTCCTTACGAATGTTATAATGCTGATGAGCACTGAATTTCTTTAATGCTGATTGCAGTATCACAAAGCAAGCAAATCATCTTATCTTTAGCAGAAACAAGATAATATCACAATTCCCAATCCTCATTAAAAAATCTATTTTCTTCTTTCAGTGTTCTCTTGTTCTTCTTTGACATGATGGTTGTTCAGCAGACAGAACTAAAAAAATACTGTCGAGCTGTGCAACTTATCCACAAATTCCACTTCAAACAGACACATAGTGCATGGTTGTCAAAAGCTCGTAATAGACCTGTGTACTTGACCCCTATAAACTTTCTTCAATCAGCCTCATGTGGTAGTGGTGCCAGTCAGGCGGGGGAAGTTAGAACTAAATCATGAGCATAGCAGCTGTCAATTTAGCTCTTATGGCTCACTCATGTTCTAATCGTGCTGGTCAATCTGGGAGGGTTATTTCATTGAAACTTATTTTATTCTTTGGTATTTTAAATATGTTCATTTTAAAAATAAAATAAAAATATAAAAGACAAAAATGTGTTAATAAAAATAAAAGAATTTGTTCTGTAAAATTTAGATTCAGTCAAAAGATTGCACTTAAGGACCCAGAAGGCCACATGTGGTTGTAGTAGGTTCCTCACACCTGGCCTAGAAGTTGGATCTTTAACAAAGGAAAGTCTTAGAACTTCGTGGAAAACATTGTAGCAAGTTTGAATATTGATACTTCATGTAATAGATACATTAGTACAGGCTTCCAAGGTGAAATTTCTTAGATAATTCCTAAATGGTACTGGGGACTGAAATGAGGATTTCTAGGGCTGTTTATAGTCCAGCAGCAGATGACTTTATAAAAGCTAATTGCTGACCCGAGACTCAGTGGAACAAAAAAATAATAATTGTATAGGACTGAAGGAACTGATGAGGAAATATAATTTTGATTGTTTTGAAACACTGTTGGTATTATTAATGTTCTCTTTTCTGATACAATATGAAGTCATTTTTCTTTCTTCCTGATCTCTCTCTTGCCATTAACTTAGTATGCTTTTGTAAACATCTTGAAATGAAACATTTTAAAATAAGCTAATTATCACTGACCTTTCAGAATTGAGAAACAACACTCTTTCTGAATCCCTTTATTTTTAATGGTAATGTAGTTACTTGCATATGTTCAATAGGAATTTGTTCTATTAATAATTATTACCAATAAATAACTGAACAAACAGATGGTTCAGTCAAGGCCATACATGGAGTGTCGTGAGAGTGGATCTCATTTATTCACGAATGAAGCCCACCATTGAGAAACAAGGGTTGCCCTTCACGGGGAGGACCATAAAATCCTCCCAGAAAACTGGCCTGTGACCTTATTGTGGAAGTTAGCAAATTTTAACAGATGTCTAAGCCCTTGAGGAATGATCCATTCACCCCTATTCATAGATACTACAGATACTATTTATAGATCCACTACAGTGGTGCTGACTTTCTTGGTTTAGTTTCCTAGCCTCAGAACAGAAGAGCAAATTAAAGCAATAAACAACACACATGGAATAACAGAGGCTACTGAAACTTCCTAAAAAGATTCTTAAGAAATCTCCAGACAGAAGTTAATTTTGTAGATTATGTCGTTGCTTAATACCACATGGCTTTAGATTTTCTGACTAGACTACAAAGAGGCTTCTGTATTAATGTATTAGTTAACTTTTCTTACTGTGTTTGTATAAACAAATCAGGCCCAAATGCAAGACAATCAGCTTTCTTTGGAAACCAAGAATAATCTTTGGAGATTATTTGTGATCACAGCGCTTCATAGTTTACAATGTCCTTCCACATCCTGAGTTAAACCTCCTAAAGAGCCTTTAAACACAATATTCCTAAAGTCACCATGAACAGATTTAGACTTGAAATCTTTATCTATTTGCCCTAAAAAAGATAAAATGGTTTATAAGTACGCAAATGGATAAACACTCACATCCTGTTCATTCTCCTCTATTACAAATAGCTACTGGCCTTAGAAGATACTAGTGCACACACACATGCACACATTCACACACAGTCAACATTTTCCATGGAATAGCCAAGTATGGCTGAGAAAGCCACTTCCATAGAATGCAAATTCAAACTTCTACCTTGGGTCTCATTGAGGACAGACAGCTCAAAAAGGGGCCAAGATCAGTGGGATGACATTACTTTCTCCACCATGAAATCATCCAAATAAGCCCAACCTTTCCTGCCTCTCTCAGCCATGGCAGAGAGACAGCTACCCACGGGGAGGTTTTCTCTTTTATCAGTCCCCTGGCTCTGTGCTGCATTACAAGCAGAATATATTAATAAAGGAATGCTTTGGGGGAGAATGCTCTCCACTGCTGTGACATCTCTGTAGTCTCTGTTTTGATATTTGGCCTTGAGAAGTTCAAAGGATTTGAGAGATTAGAGTTCAAGGAAGACCAAGATGTACCCCAGGGCAGGCCCTGGTCTTAGATGCTGAAGAACCTCCTCCTCCTACACCATCGCCACTTTGACCTCTAGAAGAACCTAGTGCATATCTTGGTCTAACAGAATTATTTTCAAAGACACTCAGCTCTTCTTCTTTTTAATGATAGTTGAAGGCAATTCAGTTTAGGGTGCCTAAACAAGCTGCAGTAATTGCTTGCCAAGTCTGCCCATTTCTCCAGCTTGCTCCTGGCACCTGGGACAAAGCTTGGTCACACCAACCCTCCCTTGCACCCTCTTCAGGTCCCCACTCACCATTCTTCTCTGCCTTGTGTTTTGGTGGCTCAGGCTCCGGGAGACACGGACACGGCCCATCACAGAGGATGGTGAGGCTCTTGCCGGTAGAACAAGCATGGAATTCCAACTTGCACTGCAAAAGAGAGATAGAACAGGCCTTGAGAATGCAGCCACAGCACACCTCTCCTCCACTTCCTTGGGAGAAAGCCAGTGCCTTTGTTTTATGGAGGCAAAGCTGGAGCAGGGAGAATTCCATGTCAGGTAAAGGTCTGAATTACGGATTACTGAATAAGAAATGGCCCTTTACACTTTTCCAAATGCACAGGATAACTTCTCATAGCATTGTGCAAACACTTGAAGGCTTACTTTAGTGAATGGTAAATTTGAGTGTCACTACTCATAAAATAAAATAAAATTGTTAATATGAAACTTAACATCTTTGAAGTTGTACATGGTACATGAAGACCTGTCCCCTCCCTGTAGGAGCTTCTTCTCCACATTTCCTCCCACATGCTTGTATACCACTCCTTGTCCCCTCAGCCTGTCACTATCCTTCTGGGGAGGAACAGTAACAGTCTCTTTAGGAAGTCTGGGTGGCAATCTGTGGCTCAGCCCCTCCCCTTGGAAGCAACAAGGTATGAATGCTTTTGCTTCCACTGTCCAAAACCTATGTTTATGTGGGTCTTTCCCTCACCAGAGGATGCCCGTGGTCAAACTAGCCTGCAACTTGGTGGAAATGTCTACACAATTCTAGGATTCTGCGTTAGAAGCCCATGAGCCACAGCTTGTCAACCCTTTATCAGTAACAATGGTAATATTCTGGTCACTTTCTGCCAGCTCTTTACTCTAAACTCTCAATGAATTCAGAACACAAGCAGGAGGGAAGGATGTTATTTACAGGTGCAAAAGACCACAACAATTCCCAGGATTTTCATTATTCCTACATCATGGAAGAAGAAACTGAGGTTCCAGTTAAATAGCTCACAAAAGATCACAAAGCTCATGCACACCCATGCCTGGCTCAGGGGTCAGCACTCAGCTCTGTGCGTCCCGCAATACCGTTTCTCTCACGTGGACAGGGCTTCAGCCTACAGACGTCCTGTGCCGAGCTGTGTGTGGCTAATTAGGCAACTCTGCTATTGGCCCAGATCTGAGTTGTCTGAGAGTTTCCTCCCTTTTTGCCTGTAAAATTCTCAAGATCAAGGCCCGTGTGTAATCAGTCCTCTGCAAAGGCCCACAGGCCCAGGACCATGTGTGTGTTTCTGGGGGAGGTTCAAAGGAAGCAGAGATAGGTGAAATTTACTGAGCACCCACTGGGCGTGCAGCTCTTATCGGGTGCCATGGGGAATCTTTTAAATGAAAGAGAAGAGGAGATACAGTCCTTGCCCTTGGAAAACACAAATGCATACCTTTGAAAAAAGTCCGCTAGCATTTGCAAAGCCACACACAAGTAAGTGCAGATAAATACTGGCTCATTGTAATAGGGCAAGCTATTCAGTCCCCATACTGATTACAAACCAAGGGAAAGTGTGCTTTAAACCTGCTTCTAAATGGACTGGAGTCACCGTAGCATCACTCAAAGATCACCCACACTGTCCAGTCACTGGCCACGCTTGCAGGGAGAGGGCAAGAGAGCAAACTACAGAGCACTGGCTTCCTCTTGCAGCAAAACTCCCTTCTGGGCGTATTTGCTAGGTTTCACACAAATGGCCAGAGAGCCCAGGAAAGGATAAGCAGTCCACCCTGCTGCGGTGAGAGGGACAGGGCGTGTGGCCACTCTTCCCATCCCCCACGCCACATCAGGGCGCAGCTGCACTGTCACAGGCGCGTCAAGGAAACTCTCCTCAGGACTTTCTCTGAAACACCTGGGGAAGATCCACTGACACAACCTGACTTTGAATGTGGACTGCGGATTACGGATGACACGTCTGGTCACTCCAAAGC